CTCCGCCCGCCCTCAGGGGAAACGCGCGGCCGAGGGCCCGTGTGGCGGCGGGAAGGAGCGAGGACGCTGCGGGGAATGAGGTACCGGACACCGCCCCGAGGGGAAGGAGGGGCTGGAGAGGGGCTGGAGGGGTCAGTGGCCGCGGTGGCACCGAGACCGTGGGTCCGTGCCAAAGGGAGGCGACGGGGATGCGCAGGGACACGTCCCCCGCTCGGCCCCTCTGGGAGAAACCCCTGCGGGTGCCCCTCTTTGTGCCGCGGCCAGCGGGTGGTTTCCAGTTTTAGTTCTCCGAACTGACTCGCGACTTCGCACGGGAACAAGCAAACTGCGGCTCCCCTCGGGCCAGGATCCCTGGATCCCGTCCCTGGGGCGATCCCTGCCGCGGTGCTGGGCTGTGGGGAACTTTTTCCCTGCGGAACTGCCCCTCTAAATGCAGGATTTGGGGGTTCAGCCGAATATTTGAGTGAATAAATAACCTAAATGCGTTGGGTAGGCAGCAATCTCTCAGCTCTCGTGAGGGAAAAACAACTGGTGCTGCTGTACTGCCATCCCATCACACAGAACCGACTCGGTGCTTAAAACAAATTAAAAAGATACTACTTTCAGGTGTTAAAGACCCTCCTCAGCAGTATTACATAATATTATTACCACACTAATATGCTCTTCAGTCCTGGATTGTGCACAGCTGTGAGTCAGAAGGCATCTGGAGGTGACAGTGTTCCCACGTACAAATTTAGAAATGTACTAATAAACAGAAATGTTTTCCTTTTACTTAATTACAACAGTTTTTCTAGCCTAAGCATTTTGTGAGAGATTTACAACTGAATAATTAATAAAAGGAAATCACACGAAAATAAAAATTTGATGTAAAATTCAGATCCATATTAACTGAGTTGAATTAATAAAGCCTTAACTTCTATTAAACCTTTGAATATGCTCCTGTTGTTAATAAAGCCAGTGCATTTGTTTAATATAAAGCCTTCTGCAACCTGTTACTATTTGTAACATGGTCCAGGCTCTGGTCAGTGTTTAAGGAATTATTTTAATTAGACTGTTCATTCATTGGAAATACTGGAAGTCAGACTAGGACGTGTAGATGGAGTTCCAGAGGAGCAGGGACACTTCCACACCTTCCCAGAGCCACTCTGTCCCAACAGTCGGGATCACTGGAGAGGTGTGGGGGGCCCCCTTTGCCCACTCGGGGTTCACACAGGGGCTTCCCCCTCTTTCCTCCTGGTCTCAGACCCTCCAGGGAGGCAGAGTGAGGGCAAGGGGGCAGTTCAGGGAGCTGGAGCTCCGAGGATCCTCTGGCTGAACGAGCTCCCCAGCCTGGAGGGACAGGGCTGGCTCTCTCCAGGGTGATCCTGGAGGCCAGTGGGCCATGTCCCTGGCTCCCCATTATCCCAGCCCATCCCTGAGGCGTGGGATCAGCAGTTCCTGCCCACTCTGCAACCCCTGTGCCACGGGAAGATGACTCACAGCCGGGATTTGTGCCTGTCCAGCCCTTCCAGGATCCCGCAGGGCACCAGCCCCTGGTGCTGGGGATGCTCCCAGGGCAGCTTCTGCCGGGGAGCCGGGAAAGGGCAGCGTGGGAGCAGCCCGGGGGAAGGTGGGTCACGGTTTCCATCCCGGGATGGAGCTGTGCTGCCTCTTTGGGGGCTCTCAGAGCAGGGCTGGGGATTAAGGGGGGCCCAACACTGAACTGGCAGCCCCTGTTCTCCACTAAACCCGGGAGAAGGCACTGCACTGGAGTACAGTCACTGGGAGAAGGTGATGATCAAGGAAAAATGCCTTAGAAATTTCCATTTTTAATCCAGGAGAGGGAGGACAAGAGATTAAGCATAAGTCTGTTCCCCAGAGCAAGCAGCTGGTACTAGAGGCACTTGTGACCTCCCCTCTCTCCTCCCCGAAGGAGAACCACCTCATGACCACTGTCCACCTCACCCGTGGAAGATGATGCTGAGTATGGGACTAATAACTGATTCTTTTGAAAAAGACTCTTAGAAATGGTAACTTCAAGTAACAGTTAAATGTACTTTAATTCCTTCACACAGAAGGAGAGCTTGAAGGTACAGCAGAGAAATTATTTCACTGATTTCAGTCTCTTTAAAAAAAAAAAAAAGCATGGCTTCAAACTTCAGGAACAGTATCCAATAAACAAAGTACTATACCTGTGCACCTGGTTTAGTGTGGTACAAAGAGCTTACAGATTCAAATGTCAAAAATGACTGAGAAATCGATTCAGATAATGCTTCTTTACAGGGACAGAAACTATGTTGACAAGTATGAATAAGTACACAGATCATCTGTTTAAACTCAAACCTTTCTAACTATATTTACACACACACAGATGTATTTGTTTCCTTTGGCACTAGAAATTACAGACAAAAGATTCCATTTTATAGCAATTAAAACTTCAAACTTAAAAATAACCTTTGAGCCAGTTAAGTCATAAAGTCCCAGCACAGTAGCTTCACTGTTATTAAATTGCTGCCAACTCTATGTTCTAACCCTGGAAATTCAGACCACAAAGCCTGAAAGTCAGCATCCACCTGTGACAAATTTCACTTGGCAGGACTGGATGTGAGGAGCTCAAGCAGGGGGAATTAATGATAGACCGATACTTAATAAGAATGAATCTCCCACTATTTTCATCCAAGGTGGATGTCTACTTTTAAAAGCTCTTTATATGCATATAAAATAAATCAAGTAAGAAATGGACACCCATTACATATATTCAGCCAAATTAGACAAGAACACTCAGAGCAAACAGTGGCCAGCTGTAGTATTTCTTCAGCATTGCAGAGAAATGTGTTAATCCCTACTCATTTCCATTGCTAAAAAAAATAAATTAAGATAATGCTTAACTAATATGGTGTATTCTTTTACCATCTTAGTTTACTCTTGAGCCATTGTCAGGAGTAAACCCTTAAGTTTCACAGGAAATTCAGTATTATCAGTACAGTAGCAAGAGTATTTTGGCACCCTGTAAAATCCTAAAGAACGTGCAAGAAAAATTTTGTAAGTAGCATTTAATTATCCAGACTTCTCATTCCTTTTTCCTGGTACTTGACTTTACAGAGCCTGAAGCCTTGATTACTTTCAGAACAGTTTTTAAAGGTTTTCTGCTAGTGGAACAACAACAGCACAATGTTTTTCCTAAAGCATTCAAGACTAGCAAAAGATTATTTTCCTTGAGAAACTACATAAAAACTAAGTAATGAGGCATCATGGCAAGTAACAGCACATCGACCCTTTACCACAGTAGGAAGCAATTTTCAATGTTACAACAAAAAGGAATTAAATGGAAAAGATCTAAAACTTATAGGACTTCATAGGTTTTGTTCCTTCTCTCTCTAGTGGTAAGAAACCATTACTGGTCAACACTGTACTTAGCTCTGCAAGCAGGATCAGGGCAGAAGCTTTTGTTGAGATGGAATAAAGTACATGGTTGTCTTATTTCTGCATCGATCACATGAGACTGGACGTTGCATTGTCTCTGACAACTGGATGGAATCCAGGCTGGACCACACACTCACAGAATGTTTTCCCTCACACATTATTTGTGCACGTCTCCACCAGGGATCGATCGTGTCCTGCCAAGTGTATTTTTAAGCACCAAAACCAGGCTGAATTTGGCTGTAGCAAATTCTGTGAGGAAAAGGGATCAGAGCATATAACAGCAAGTCTTCCCAGAAGACAAGTCTTTTCTACACATCCAAAGAGCTGTTTGAATTTCAGATTAGCTGATACAACATTTTGTTTGGTTTTTTTTTAAATATTTCAAAAGCACAGCATGTTAAAACAACTTCCATTACACTTTGTGGAATACCAGTACCAACAACCTCTATGTGAAATTGTTACAGGCTTCTCAAATGCAGTCTCCTAAAATGAGAGTGTATCTAAAGCACATGTACACGCTGCTACCAAGGAAAGAAAGCAGGGAAGTAGCAACTTTTCTACATGAGCTTACCAAGAACCTTGCTCTTTGAAATAGCCCAAATTAGCTTGCACTTAAGATTTATTTTCAACTGAAAAGACTTAAAAAACCACCCAAATCTTATTATAAGACCCCTTGGTCTCTTTGTTCTAAGCTTGCATGGTATTTTCATGCAAACTGATGTACTGGAGATACAGCACTGCAAGTTACTGCTCAAGAATTCTGAGAAGTTATTTTTCTTTTTAGTAAATCAGGAATAAAAACCTGTGTCTTCACACATGGTCCTACAAGAGTCAGTGTGCAGTAGGAACTACCAAAGGAAACACTTTCCAGGTTCTGAAATAGTAGAAACTAATTTAACTGATTATCAGTCCACACAACCACAAGGCTGCATTGCACTACAGAAATACTGCCCAAATGCCTCCAAAAATGCCTAGAAACTACAAGCAAGTTCTAAACAAGGTATTAAAACCGGTTTCTTTCAGTGAAGACCAACCAGCCCCTTTGTGTACACATTTAGTTTTATTGTAACAAAGCAACTTGTACACTTTAACGTTTAAAACTGAGCATCTTTCTTTCCTTTCCAGTGAAACAAAAAAAAAAAAAAAAAAAAAGAATTTAAAAATAAACAAGAACAAAATTACAATAGAGAATGTCAATTCCAAATAAGATCCTACAGGTTCTGCTGATTCTCCATCAAGTGGCAGGGCTCAAAGTCATCATTAGGAGAAGATTTTATTTTAAAAGTGTCATCTTAAACTGCAAGGATGTTTGTTAAACATCACAATTAAACATGCCAAAGGAGAAGAAGCCATGTTGTCAAAATGCCCACTTAACCCACCCAAACATCTGAAACCCACCCCGGCTGACCTTCTATAACCCCATTTTTATTTTTTATTTTTTTTTTTAGGTTTTTTTCTTTTTTTTAAACAAGAGAAAGTAGACAGATACATGTTGGTAAATGCTAACTGTCCATATTCACATAGAGACACAGTGTAATCTCTGAGCCCAATATACAGAGAAAGAAGGAAAAAAGCTAGATTCTATGCACTACTACACAGGGGCCTAGCACTCTTCAGCTTCCAGCAGAGTGAAGGGAGCAGAAGGTTTTCTTTTTTCCCACAGAACATGGTGTGTTGATTCCATAAACAGTTTTTTGTTTTGAGACAGAAAGGGATAAAAATGAACTTGAAACAGAAACTGGTAGATTCTTTTCCACTGTGTTCTGCTCAAGGTATTTCCCCCAAAATAAATCGTGAACCATGGTGTAGAGGAGATAAAAAGAGACCTCAAGAGAACAAGGCGACTGAGCACAAGAAATAAAAGACAGCAACTTGCTCCCAGGGACTGGAGAAAAATTAAAAAGGTAAAAAGGGGGTTTGGAATCCATCAGTGTTCAATTAGTCATCTTCTCCTTCATCCTCCTGTTGAAAGATAAGCAACAGTTAAAACAATCTAAATCACTAAACTTCAGATAGCAAATGCAGTGAGTGATCAGAGTTGTTGTACCACCCTACAGGCTACAGAGTTACTCAGTGTGTGCTGTAGGATCATCTCATTCCCCTCTTCACTAGGGAGTGGGAAACACTTGCCCTGAGTGCCCAGAAATCCCTCAATACCTGGATGTCCCAATGAAAACACAAAGGTTTGAGAAAAAGCGTGACTTAGAATCACTACAAGCATTGAGATGAGTTTAACATTTGGGAAGTGAAGGGCTCATCTTTTTTCCCCCCCTCATTTTAAACTGTGAAATGCTTCAACTTTCACATGGCAAATTCAAGGTTACAAAATAAAGCCCAGAGCAGATCTCCCAGTGCAAGCAGTTTTTGCTGCTCGGACACCCCACACCCAGTTATGAGAAACAAAAATGTTTTAAGTTCCCAACACCCTGGATGCTGATCCTGGAATTCCACTTGCTACTTAAGGAAATTTTTAATTCCTGAACCCAACAGAGAGTCTTAGCTAAGCAGGCCACAAGCAGAAATAAACCAAAAAGTGGGAGGATGATTAGATGCATCAACAAAAGCTATTTACGTGTAAAACACTGCTAGAATGTTCACTGAATAACTGAGAATTTTGTTACATCCTCGTTCTTCTGGAGCACCTCCCTTAGAAATTTACTATAACTACATATTTACACAGTGTTTCTCATATACACAAACATACTTATTACTACACTGAAACCACTCCACAAGTAGTGGCAGTTCTGTTCCTCCCCTCCAAACACCCTGAAGCACAGAAAAGAGCTATTTCACCTTGCTAACAACAGCCTGGTATTCTTACAAGATCCCTCACACACCAGAGATGGATGGCACGAAGGGCAAAATTACTCACCTCTCCTTCCTCTCCCTCATCATCATCTTCATCTTCCTCCCCCTCATCTTCATCTCCTTCTTCATCAATATCCTCTAATCCTTCCTCCTCTTCATCATCATCGTCATCCTCCTCTCCCTCCCCTTCTTCATCGTCCATGTCAGGAACCTTAAAGACACATTTGCAACATCAACTACAGTGCTCAAATTCCCTCTCTCTCACAGAGCTGCTGTGGGCCCCGTGTCCCTGCTCAGGGCTGGACCTACCAAGTAGTACTGTAATGGATTTGGCCAGATGTCATCCTTGATGACTTCTCCTAGTTCGTCAGCCCCTGCATCAGAGTGGTCAGTGAACCAGGTGAAGAAGCTTTCTGGCTCTTCATGCTGCCTCTTCCTACTGGCTTTGTTCTGTGTCTGGCTTGAACGTTTTGTCAGGTCCTGAAAAGCAAGTTAAGAAGTTTACTGAAGTTTTCTTGGTTTTTTTTCATTTTTAGAAGCCTACTTGTCTAAACACACACAATAAGTCACCTTCTCTTCCTCATTCAGGATAAGTCTTTAAGAAACATTTGGAACCCAAACAACTCCCAGAAAATAGTGCATTTCTCATGAACATGAGAGAACAGTAAACCTGCCTGTTTCTTTCAATGACTTCCACAGAAACACGAAAATTCACAGAATCCCACATCTGATTGATGTTTCCCTACCCCAAAGAAGCAAAAGTATGACAAGTATTTAATGATACACTGAATTTAAAAGGTCTCACAACAGCTAAATGCTACTCAAGAGTAGCAACTGGATGCTACGACTACTAAATGCACCCCATTTAGGAAACAGGCTCCACACCTCTAAGCTCTGTATTTAACTTGAGATAAAGACCTGTCTGGGCCTTCTTAGCCTAAGGTTTCCTGCTTTGAAGTCTTCAGGCCATTCTTTGTAGTAAGTGGAGAAAAAAAAAAAAACCACACAAACCGCTCAAACACAGGGTCACAAGAACATATGTGAGTTCTGTAAGTGTAGTAAGTTTGCAACAATCTTTTTGCCAAGCCTGAAAATTACTATCCACTATTTAAAAAAAATTTGTGATCACACAGTAACTCCAAACTTTTAGTATTTGTTTTCTTGAAAGAATCACATTTGTAGGTTTGCACTGTTTAATGAAGAACAACAGCAGAGTTCAATCTGATTTTGTGGTATGTTGTAAGGATCACTTAACTGGTTTGTACAGGACTCTAAGTTCTTGTAGAAAAGTTCTAGTTCTCAATGAAAAAAGATTAAGTTTTCTCCTTGGTCTGAGGGTGACAAAGCAATAGCAACTTAACTGCGACCCTCAGTTCTACTTTTAAATAGTCAGTTCAAAATCTTCAGAGTAACATGAAAGTGCTTCCAACTTTTACAGAAATGAACTACAGCAAATAAATTATGTTTGAATGCTGCCTGGATTACAGGTATATCCACATTATTGTGTGGCTACAACTTCTACAAAGATGTGGTGTCTGGAAATGAAGTCGAGGAAATAAAAATAAAATCAAATCACACCCCACTATCTGATCCCCAAACAACTGTCCTCAGAATTCCTTATTTAATTGTTATTTTAAGAAAACAACATCAGTCTAGATGCTGACCAAGGAAGAGACAAACTACTGCACTTGGTAATTTCTCCACCTGGTCACACTTGTGCTTTCCCTGTTTTAACGGTGGTGCTCAACTGAGCAAGAGAATCCACTAAGGATCTCCATGGAAATGGGGTATTCCAAACCCTGCAAGATAGCCAAGAGCTATGTGTGCAGAGAAGTGCCTAGGGGAGTGAGAGGGGAAGAAAGAGCAGCTTCAATGCAAAGGAAAAAAGCAAAAGGAAGGTAATTAAAGTGATGGCATCACACAGCAGCCATCAGCTCTCCCAGATGCTCTACATACCTTCCCAGATTTCCATTTGATCTCAGTTGATTTTGAAGAAGGGTCTCCACTTTCATTGAGGTGAAACTCTTTGGAGAGAACTTTATTTTCAAAGTAGGGATTCTCATCAAAATACTGCAGAGTGGAAAGCAAGGAATTAGAACCCAGAGAATGGCAACACACAGGCCAGGTCAAAGCTGGCACTAAATGAATAATTTAATCTCTTAAGTTATAAACTAGAGCCCAACATGCAATTACATCAAAAAAACCCATTAAATCACAAGTGAAGGAATCACTTAAAGTACTTACAAAATCTATTCTGTAACCTGATTTGATGTCTTCAAATTCTGTCACCTCAACTCTGGTCAAGTAATGCAGTGCTTCCTCATCTTCTTCTCCCAGCAGTGCAGATACTGAGGCAGAATGAGGAATTCCCACATTAACAAAGCCATGGAATGCACATCATGCAGGCAAAATACAGGAAGCTGATAGTAAGATCAATCTTAAAAGCAACACATCTGTCCAAACCAGCTCCTTTAATTCCAGTTAGCAGCCAACAGACTATTTGCATTTGCTGAGGTGAAAACTTTATATATTTGCTTGTTGCAGTTTAGTGTTAAAAGAGCAGCAAACACCATGTACATCCATGTACCCTTCTTTGACACAGATTTTCATGCCTGTTGTTTGCCCACTCTAAGCAGTCTACAAACTTGTTTTGCAGAAAGTTTATTGTGAAGAGTCCCAAGGAGCTCACTTCCAATTCAAAACACCCAAATAAACTAGAATCCTATTTTTTCTTTTTACTTTAAGGGCCCAATGCACTGAATAAAGTGGGAAAGTCGCCATTTAAAATGCAGGCATTTTAAGATTGAAGTATATTAGTGAACAAGATGTTCTTTTGTCAACAAGTGCTAGAAATAAAAACTTATAAAATGCAACCTAGGACAGAAAGGAAGTTTTTGGTGTGACCAGTGACAACTGTACGAGACCCTCAGAGCTGCAAGACACCCATGTAACAAGCAAGCCAATACTGAACTTACAGGGAAATAAGGAGGGCTATTAAGAATATACCTTGTGGGTGGTTGACAAATGTTGTTACCCAGAAATTCGGGATTTTGGCGATCAACTCTGACCTCTTCTGGAAGAATGGTTGGCGGAGTTTGTTGTATTTCTGTTCTACTTTCAAAATTTCCTCACTGGCTTGTTCATTCAGTCTGTAACAGAAGGAGCCATGTTAACCACAGGCAGAGAACTGGGAGTTAAGGACACACCATAAGTAGCTAACTAAGAGCTGAATGGGTTTGGTAAGATCAGTCTGCCATCTTTAACTAATGAAGTATCCCAAAAAACCTGAGGCCCAGAGCTGTAACAACTATTAAACACCCTGCCAGAAGAATCTCACTGGTCTTAATGGAACCTTCCCAACACACAATGCTTTGCTAGAATGGACCTCTATTTATGCAAAGCAAAGTAGTGTTTTACCCCTTACACATTTTGTTTGCAAAAGACCTGCAGATGGAGAACACACAACACCATCACCTGCTCTAACTTCTGGGCAGGCAAGGAAGCCACAGCAATTTTACACCCCATGCAAGTAAAATCTGAAGACATAACATTTGATTGTTGTTGTAAAAAGGGAAAGCCCTGACACTGCAACAGCTTCACAGGGTCAGAGCCCCAACAGTCACCTGCAGTCCCTGTAGGACAGTGGGCAGGGAGAGAAGATCCAGGCAAAGATCCACAGCCCAGAGAGCTCTGACATATAAAACTAACATTTCAGAGACATTTTCTATGTGTTATTCTACAAGCACACCGATATTGTAATAAAAATATATAATAAAAGCCGACTTTTTAACCAAGTTCTTGGTTCTGCTTGCAAACAGGGAAATACTTTTGCCAGATAACACACACGATCTCAAAAACCCAACAGAAAATACACTGCTGTTATCAAAACTACCACAATTAATTTAAAATTTTAAACTCAAGCTGTACCTTTTTAACTCTACACAATTAAGCAAGAAACCAGGACAGTTCTTTGGTTTTTTTAAAGCCTCTAATCAAGTCAGAACACATGTATGTCTTGGCAGAGTTCAAACAGAGAGAGCACTACTAAGCACTTAGGTTACTAAATATTTTTACTTTGACAGTTCCACTTCAATTTCTGCTCAAACGTTTTAAAAATTTGATAGTGTTTACCTGTCTATTTCATTCTGTACTTCATCAATGTGTTCAATTGCTTCCTGTTGCTCTTTTTCTGAAAAACAAACGAAAATGTGTCAACATCCCTTCATTCTCAAGCCTGACAAATCACCTGGGGCTTCTCTTTAAGACCTTTTCTAGTGATCTACTGTAAAAGCACCCGGGGATTTCTACTAAATGTCAGAAGTCCTATAAGGCCTCAAAGCTTCAGCCTCACAGGGTGCACTGGGAGCTGATGAAGTGCAGGAAAGTTTGACAAAACGGCCCTAAAGTGAGTTCACCCCCAGAAAACCACAGCTCACGTCCCCCTCCACAGTTTTACAAGCCAACTTAATTTAAAAGTCAACCGTGACACATGAGCAGCAATTTAATTAAAGCGTTGTAAGCCGCGTTTACTACGACCGACACATTCGAGGGAATGTGAAATAATTTAGAGAGGACTGAGATATCAATAGAAACAGCGCGTCTGGGCACACGCCACCTTCCAAACAGCAAAGAGAACGCTCAGAAGGAGGGTTAGAAACAAAAAAGCCTCGAAAGCGGCAGCTCGCGG